TATATATATATATATATAATCAATTTAAGAATGTATTGGTCATTGATAGTTTCAAGAGAAGCACTGTAAAGGGGAATGAAATGCACTATTTCTCGAATCACCGAATACCATCCATAAAAATGCCGCTGAAGAAAGTCTATCTATTGGGAAACGGGTGGTCGTGTTTTTGAAGTCTCTCTTTCCGCATAAATAACTAATAGAGTGACTCAGCAAAACAAATGGGCGACCGACCAGTTGCTTGAAAACTGACTCTTGACAGTCTTGAAGAAGGAAATTTTATGTCGACATCAGAAGAAGCCTATGGTCAATTGTATGTGAACGTAGGTCCCAGTAATACGGTGCAATAATTATTGTTGATAGTTCTAGAATTGACTCTCCCTTCTAATACGAGCTAAAATAATCACTTAGGTCGTATTAGAAACAATGACTGACCCGGTACCTATCTTGTTGTGGATGGATGGAGGAAATCTGCATTTCTGAGAGATTTTGAGGGAACACTTGAGTAATTCCAAAGACTTTCCTGTGAAAACGATTCACGAAAGCTAGTTAAAATTATGAAAGGTTGAATAAAGTATACGCTTCTAGAATAATTACCCTTAATAGTATTCAAACAGCAACAAGTAAAACAAATTTAGAAGTACTTTTAATTCCTTGTAATCTACAGACTTGCAATTCAATTTAACCCGTGTGTGACGTACAATTTATTTTTTATCTGGAAATGTACCTGTATTTATGTTTTCATTGTCACACGTTTTTCGACGGAATATCCAGGACTTGTTACAAAGAAAATATTGAAATTGTCCACAAACATAAATGTGATTCAATATCAAATTCTAAGGTACACAACACGCCTTATCGTCCCCCTAATTCCGTAAAGCGCACGCTACTTAACGCAGTTTGGGGTAATGATTCAATGGTGCAACAAAAAAATGGTGTACTTCGAACATTTTTTTCAAGTTAAGTAATTCACGATCCACTATGAACATCGGGCATCAACCCGAGAAGCAACTTCACAAGCATCCTAACACATTCGTTGTTTGTTAAAAATTACCTAAATAAAGCCTGATTTCTGCCCTATACCACAGGTACGAACAAAACGTTTGAGGAGCAGATTCACTTCAAGCCAGTCTTTCTTTTTCGACAGAACAGTGTTCATCTACAAAAATGACAAATGTTCTATTTAATCGCAAAAACGCCACAGAGACAAGGAAGGT